CTTTGTTTAAAAAAAAAAATTAAAATAAAATGCGTCCAAATGCAGCTAAAATATTATCATAGACAGATTTGTAAAAATATTGGATTGGGAAATAATTCCTTTCAGTTTTTCAGGGTGAAATAAAACTCAATGTACTATCGACATAAAATTTATTTTAATCTGCAATGTATTTCTCATTATTTAATATGAAGTTTTGCCATATTTCCACTAACTGCATAATGCCACGGTCATAGAATGTCCGGAGTTTATTGTTAAAATACTGATCCAAGTGGTTTTTGATATCCTCTTCCTTTTGGAATTTCTTTCCATTCATGGAGTTCTGCAGATACCAGAATAAGCACTTGGAGCTAGGTCTGGTGAATAGAGAGTATGGGGTAAAAGGTCCAACCCAACGCTCAATAATTAATTGCGAGTGACCAATGAGGTGTGAGGCCTAGTCTTGGTAGAACATAACACTCTTCCGGTCATTCATAACTCTTCCAGATGTTCTAAATTCGATGTTACCATATCCGTTGGAAAGTTGAATTATTGCTCTTCAAAGCCGTATGAATGGTTTTTGATTAATTGCCTACATATGGAATAAATAAACAAAAACTTCTTATAGGTATTTATTTTTATCTAAATTTGTGGTTTGTTTACGAAGGTTCTGTTGATGTAATTTTGGGTAATTTCATGTCTTTAAGCGTGAAGGTGCCTCAGTCCATGCCAGCGACTCATCCCAGTCTCTGGCCAGCGCCTTCATGACATTGAATGTGGCTTTCGTGGCTCAGGCTGGAGATGTGGTCCATCCACGTTAGCCTAGGTCTGCCCGGGGACATCTTTCAGTTGGCCTAGCTTCGAAATACTTCCTTGGATCCCGATCTTCCTCCATTCAGCAAGGTTCCAAACCATTTCAGCTGCCTCCTTTCAACTACTACTTTTACAGCTGAAACTCCTAGGTCCTCTCTTATTCGCTGATTTCTAACCAGATCTCTTCTGGTGCTAACCTGGCCTACCAGCCACTCTCCTCAGGTATCTCATTTCTGCGGCTGTTACTCGACTCCAGTGCTTGTCCAGTGTAACCCAGATTTTGCTTCCATAGAGAAGAGTAGGTAGGTATATAGCCTTGAAAATGTGCAGCTTCACGTTTTTGTCCACTTCCCTATTTCCAGGTGTTGCATTTTTGGTAGTAGACATTATTTGATTTTTTGATTCGGTTGGAAATCTCCCCATCAATCTTGCCATTCCTGCTGACGACTGTACCTAGGTAGGTAGGTATATTCCTCAGTCTTCTCTAAGGTTTCTCCTCCACATTTTCTTCATTTCGTCCTATACAAATTATCTTGCTCTTACTTGCATTGAGCATCATTCCCTTTCCATTCAGCTTAGCTTCCCACTCTATGACTGCTTGCTGCAGTTTTTCTTTTGAATCTGTCGTGAGAACAATGCCATATTTAAAAACAATAGCCTGAGCAAGGATTGTCCTCATATTCCATTTCCCAACAACTGTCCGTGCTGTCCTTCTCTTACATATTTTTAGGATTTTATCTATGAATATGAAGAACATCTGAGAAAAAATACTATAAATGGCCCTGCAGCTTGCTAATGAGTTCTCTAAGAAAAAAAAAACACTGAATTATTCCCGATTTCGATCAAATCGGAGACCAAATAATTACTACCTTGATGAAAACATTCCCAACAGTAGATATTTTAAGAAAATAACAAAACTTTCTAATAAGAAATATACAAATTATTACCGTGACCAATTTTATGAATCGCATGGATTCTTCAAGAAGACTACAGTTGCTGGAGATTGCAATGCGTCCAGATCTATTGGAACTGAATAAAAACTGGGTCCCAGAGAAAACCCGTATTTTCTTGTGCTCTAATAAAAGCTTGTTCGAAAGAATAAATGAAGTCCATTTTATTAAAATAAATTTTCCTCCATCATATATTTCACCTGCGAGATTCAGTTTGGAGTCAATAGGAACAAACTGCGACAGAACAAGCCTTCGCGTCTCACGGCGGCCCAAAAACTACATCACTCTTTTCTTTAAATAGCTGATTTTTGGGACTTTTTCGGAATTGTTTGCCAACGATGCAGGAGAAGGTCGACCACTTGTACAATTCTCTAATGCTGGTCTCGATAGTATTTTTTTTACATTATATTAGAAAATTCGTCTATGCGGTTGAATTTACCCTATATTTCTCTTTTCATTAAACAGCTGCTTAAAGTATTAGTTTTTGAAAGAAATGTCCTTCGGAGGACATTTGGCCCAGTTAAGGAGAATGGTGATGGAGAATTAGATGCAACCAAGAACTACCTTACTTATACAAGGAAACGGATGTGGTGAAATATATCCAGATAGCAAGGCTGAGATAGGAAGGCAAATTGTACGGATGGACGAGACCTCAATCCCAAAGAAGCTGCATAGTATGGAGCCGGGTGGAAAAAGAAAAGTGGGCAGACCTTAACTGAGATGGAAAATTAAGTAAGTGCTGATGCGAGAATCCATGGAATCAGGAACTGGTAGAGACTGTTCAGGACAGAGAAACATGGAGGAAAACTCTTGAGCCACCGAGATCCAGTAATCGATTATGGAGCTCGGGACGGTATTGTTCATATTAGAAAATTGATCATAGAGGATGGTTTTTTCCTATATTTCTCTTTTCTTTAAATAGCTGGTTTTTTGGATCTTTTCGGAATTATTTTTCTACCATCCAGAAGGGGGCGCCCCATAGCAAAAATCACTAATGCTGGTTACGATAATTAATCGGCAGAAAAGCGGCATTAATCGGCAATGGCATAAGAGTTTAGAGTCCTCTACCACATCATTAGGTACTCATAAATGGCACAGTTGTAGTGCTGTAATGATTGTATTAACGAAAAAATATGAATAAAATAATTTAATTGTCAAATTTTAATTCTTTTTTCAAAACTTCATTCATTTTGAAAGCTCAATAAATTCGCTTTGTGTTGGGTTTAGAAAAAAATGTTAGATAATTTTAAGCTGTTTAAGATTTAATACAATCATTTTTTAATTTTTTATCTATGTCGCTTTAAAAAGGAGTTCGCGGTTCGAATTCCAATGGTTTTAGAAGCACTGCACAGAACCCACAATGCTTTTAAGGGAGGAAACTTTTGATGGCGAAAGTTGCGCCATCAAAATTGTTTTTTGGGGGCAGCATATTTCAAAGGGATTATGAATTTTCGGAACGAAAAGTTTTAGAATAAGGGACAAGGAGAAAACAACAGACCACAGCAGGAGTAATTGTTTATAAGCTATGATTTTTTTAATTCCAATTTTTCTTACTCTGTTTTTAAGAAAATGAGCAATAAAATATCTTGGGAGGGGAAAGGCTATTTTCTTGTACCATTGAGCTTGGGGAGGAGGATGGGCACCCCTCCCATGAATTACCTGACCTTTTGCAAGGTTGAGTAATTCATGGAGTAAAAAGGGTAACCCCATTTTACTTTAACTTACCTTTTACTTATATGAAATATATAGTTATGGGAAGTATTGGGATCGTGTTTCGTACTAATTTGACTGGACTAATAACTGTAAGGGGAAATATTTCTTGATAAGAATCGAAGAAGTTCATAACAATTTGATAACCTGTTTACCTACCTCAATCTTCTCTCCAAATTTGAGCCAAATCGAACGCGCAGTTTTGAGATCTGATGTATCAAGGGAAATACATAAACACATACTCGTATGTGTGATGAAGTAATAGATGAAATTCGAAAAAAATGGGTAAATGATTAATTGATCCTAAACTTTCCTCCAATCATTTCGAATGAGCCCCAGTTCTGAAATATAGGCAGATATAATTATCTGAGAAAAAATATTTATGCTTGCATATCCAAAAGATTGGATATAATTGATGAAATTAATATGGGATCAATTAGGCATCACTTATGCGTAATCTCATGAAAAGCGGATTAACAGTAATATGTGATATGCTCCTTACATGGTTTTGGCAACAGGCAGCCACGGGACCAAATTTATTTGGCCCTCCAAGAGAAATAGGGCATGCCACTTCTCAAGAAATTATATTGCTCTTCTCTTCTTAAAAACCTTTCAAGTGAAAATAGGGGTTTAGTTTTTCCTTTTCCCCTGATTTTAAAGTTCTCTCAAAAACAGAAACCCATCAAACATATTTTCCTATACAGAAATATGTACTATCACATATTATAGGAAAACATATTTTCCTATACAGAAATATGTACTATCACAAAAAATAGAACCATAGCAATTATCCCGATGGTTCTACAATTAATCTCTAAATACTGCCAAGTTATTTATATACTTAAATCACTGGTTTTTATTATATTACATTACATATTAATTTATGGTCACTCTGATGGGTTCTAGTAAAGCTTATCTGGCAGAATAAAATTTCATTTAGGACTGAGCCAGGAAGTAAAACTGTTTGTTCCTACTCCTAATTAGAACTGGGTGGTAACCTTTAGGATAACCTCCCCATATGCCAGTGAAAAGGGGGATAAAGTCAAAAAGTCTTTAACATACAATTTACTTTAAATAATTTTTTCAAGTTCCTTAAGAAGTGACTGATAAAATATTGTTTGGCATGTAAATAAACTTTGCTTACTAATAAAAAATAAATTAAATTTCATTCTTCAACTCAATCCTCTAGTTCTTTCAATTTCCTACTTCATGTTACCTGATCACTCTCTTTTAAAACTAAAATGTGTAGGAGATCTCCTCCTTTAACAATAACTAATAAAATCATATCAAGAAAATTTAAATTAAATGGTGTTGTAGAAAAAAAATAAAATGAAAAATAACAAACACTGCTATCTACTGCTTTTTTTTTTCAAATATTAAAACATATGTTTCCTTTAATCACTTACAATTACTATTTGTAAATTATATTGTATGTCCAAATTCTGATTATTTCAGATACTCAATCATCTACTATTGAACAAAAAGAATATTCTAAAATGAGTGGGAAATTTGTATAAAATAATAAATTATTCAGAACAAATCTCAAAGAAATTAATTTATGAAAAGAATTTTATATTAAAAATAATTTACATCTTCAACTCTTGATTTTATACATATAAATACATATAGTTTACATAATTTTAATAAATACAAATATAAATAAGACTATATAATACAATGTTTTATAATATATCATATTAATATATTTTACAGAAACAAAACAGTTGAATTTAAACAACACTTATATATACAGAAGAGAAATTTACAGCTGAATACATAAACTTAAAATGAACTGGTTCAGAATTATATACACTCACCAGAACATTAGGTCATACTTGGGCAATAAATAACAATAAAACTACCAGCCAAGCTCATCAGTTGCTATGTAGTAACTCAGAATTACAACTAATTTTATTAAAAATTAATTATAAAAAGAAAGGTGTTTCTAATTTCTTATATGCAAAAAATCCATTAAATAGAATTATTATAAATGTAGAAATTCATAATGGTACCACTCTATCTGGTCTTATACATGCACATAATTTTGATAATCTAAACTACAAATAGTTCATATCTGTAAATAAGTCGAATCCTATTAATATGATTGGAAAAATACTACAATCCATAATATCATTACTCATTGTTATAAGCCTTACCGTATACAGGACAAAATACTTAACTGGCATTAAATATTTAAATATATTATTTTTTAATGAGTATTTGGTTTAAAATGTAAAGTATTCAAATAAAACATAGTTATAAAATGTTATAATTAAAAAAGATTATTTGATATTATTTAAATGTTTGACAGGATATTATTTAAATCTTAATTCTAGGATATGAAGCATAGAAAATATTATTACCCTCTGAATATCACAAATGACATTGTAATTCCATTAATTTATACTATAGAATAATTGCACATTTCTTGTATATAAGTAGTATAAATAAATAAATGTACAAGTTACCAAAGATGACTTTTAAAATTAACAAAGAATGTTTTTAAAACAATAGGTACAAGGTTAAATCTTAGAAAGTTCTTGTTCACTGGAGAATGATTTTAAACCAAATAATAAGCTAAAGATTTTTCAACACGTCATTTGGTATAGAAACAGAAATTGATTCTAAATATATACATATATGTTGAAATCTGAGCACTAATACCACAAAATATAGGTAATGGCTAATGTCTTTTAAGCTAAAAAAAAAAATTAACAATTATACAAACAGCATAATACTTAAATCAAATCCAATCAAACCATAACATGTCAGAAATCCTTCAAAAAATCACTAAGCAACCATAACTTAGCGATTTACTGCTATTACATACATTTAGCCATAAAAATTAAAGGAGAAAAAAAACTAAAAAAACACACACTTGACTACAGTTAAAATCTTTGGTCTTAATTTATTCCATCATTTCTAATTAATAATAGAACTGTCGACTTTTTTTTGTTGCTTGATGCCGCAACCAGACATAACAAGTTATACAATATAATAATTTAGTTCCAATACATTACACTATCTGTTAAAAAAAAAAAAAGGAAAAGACACAATATAATTTAAATTTAATACCATATTCATAATAAAATCTAAAATTCAAAACATAAACATTTTATTAAACCACAAAATCTATTCCGATGACTAAATATTTTGATTCATTTATTTATCCAATACTAAAAACAATGCTACAAAAAAAAAAAAAAAATGGTACAGGAATGGAATCAAAGCTATTAATAGAATTACTTAAATATAGGTAATTAACAGATATGATTTTTCATCTGTTATTTCCTAAAACCTATCAGTTATAGGCATAGAGGCAGTGTTAAAAAAAGTTGAATTTATTATACTTTTTTCAATTTTTTAAGTTTGACAAATAAGAAAGCCCTGCATCCCTCTAAACCAAAATTTAAATGAATCATTAAAATAAAAAGATTGTCAGAATTTGACAGCCAATTGACATTGTTGAGCAGATAATATACAAAGATATACAAAAATCAATAGTGATGTTTTAAATAATTGAAATTTGAGATTAATTTTTTTTCTGAAATAAAAGGAAAAACTGTTTGGTTGATTAGAAAAAGTAATAACAAAATGCTATTTTTGAATATTTTAGTGAGGTAAGAATATGCTTTGTTCTTATCATCAGTTTTCACAATGATAATTTTACTACCATTAAATTTATACTATGGTTAATAATATAAATTTAGAAAACTAAACCTCAATTTTTATCAATAAGAGTTTATTAACTTATTTTTATTTGTTTACTGCATTTTTACTACTAACGAAATCGACAAGCCACCCTAGTGATAACTAGCACCACAATGCTACTTTAATGCAGGACTTAAAAGAGACATATTCATATACACTCTCACTTCAAGAGCTGTAACATATTTTAAAATTACTAGGATTTCTACCGTGTATAAGGATAGTCAATGAGATATTTTTTCAGAATTATTGGTATTGGCAACGGTCCTACATCCTTGCTCGACCTGAGGAGAGTATTAAGAGTGAGCCGACATAAATGCTTCAGAGATGGGCAGTTTTTATACACTGGTTTTCTTAGAAGAACATGTGAATACTTGGAGCCTGAGATACACAGCTGTGGTCCGCCCAGAGAAACGTAATGTTCAACAAGGCTGATCACAGATGGGAAGTTCGGTACAGAACAGGCTAATGATGGTTCAGCATCCAGCCTGAACCTACCATCTGAATAGTGAATCCTAACAGAAGTAGGGCCAAGGGCGGTCTGTACACTTATCGAGAACAGGAACCTGCAACAAACATATATTTTATGATTATATACACTTCAAAAAGTAATCAGATTTCTACAACTTAATGAGAAACTACCAATTCCAATTTTTGATAAAATTGAGAATGGTTTTGCAATCGGTTAAAAATAACAATATATATAAACAAATACCACTTTGTTAATTATTTACATTCTATGTTATTGATTTTTAAATTACTCCTTAGTAAATATAAAAAAAGGTTAACTATTAAGTTTTTTTTTTTTGTTTGACCACTGGATTTTTTCCCACCAAAATGGATTTTTAATTGTAGAGATGTAACATGTTCATTGTTAATTCATCTTCCCCTTGAATTTACAGCTACTTCAGGGATTATTGATCTCTATTTATTAACATTTATTTTTTTGTCCACCCCTACCTCATCTTTTAGCCTATATGGAGATTCTCCCGGGCCAGGGGAGAGAACGAGGTATTAATGGAAGAGTTAAAAGCCCTTAAATTACACACACATTTTTGCACTGTTGTGCTAAATTAGATGATTTATAAATACAAATGTATAAGTGAGTGAGTGTGTTAATATTTATTTTACTATATTGTTCAAATTAAATTCATTATTTGAAATTCATTTCAATAGAAAAATATTAGGAAAGCAAATAATTTTGTGTGAAGCAAAATCATATTCATTACAAAAGGAAGAAGTAAACATAAGTAAAACCTATTCTTGGAATATAAGTTGCCTAAAGTATTGGATAATAAAAACAGCTTTCCTAGAATTAGCTGGTTTGTTACTAAGGCATTTATAATTATTATTTTGGCTTGAATCCTCACTCACTCCAACCCTTCAGTCTCTCTTTTGGCTTTGGATTGATTTGTAGAAATTTCATTCTTATCAAAAAAAAAAAAAATTGATATGGCTGTAAGTTAAATCTAGTCTCATGTAAAAAATTAAAATCTAGATATAAAACACTCAGATTTGAAATGAGAGGAAAAAGAATTTGATGAGAAAGTTCTATACACCTTATGAAAAATGAATCAGGTGATAGGAAATCAGTGATAGACGCTAATTGCGAACACGTAAGAACAAATTTTCTTATCAATGAATTGAATGTTTTTTTTTTTAAGAAAGAACATAATCCCCCAAAATATTTTTTTTAGTGATATAGGAAAACCGCTTTAACACTAATATTTGAACACATGAAAATCTCCAACATTACAGTCTATTTGAATTTTTTTTTTATTTCTTTAAATTTTAACAAAAACGTTTTATAATGTATAATATTGGAAATTTCAACTCTATAAAAAAATTAAGTTTTCATTATTATTATATTATGGCCTGGTCTATATAATACATAGGTACCTATAATTCCTGCCTTCATTTATTCCTTCAAACCTTCAATGTTCTGCATTATTTTATAATAATCGTTATTATAATAGTTGATTGTAATCTGGAATTTCATTTTCAATGTTACATTTCAATTTTTTTTTATCTCTCAGTTAACTCAAGATCTGATAAGATTTCGATGAATTACTATTATAAATTAAACAATATCAATGATTTTAAGGTGTTAATAACACAATTTTACGTATTTTTTATTTATACCGCACACGATTTTTTTTACTGTACGTTTTCCGGATTTTTACTGTATGAAAATCCGGTCTCTAGTTATAACGATGCCTTGTCAAGTTTACCCCTCCACTCCAAACCCGCGCTGGTCGCGATTCGTCTGATAAATGATTTATCGCGAAATTCCAAAAGAAACCGATAGCACTTCTTCAGGGACGGAGTGCAGTTCGAAGAAGCAAGACGGCTAACGGAACGAAGGCGTGCCGAATCTACCACCTACGGGAAAGCCATCAGCGCTTTGCTTCTCGGAAGTCTCAATTGACGAGCCCCCTGCCCTGCCTCTTTTTAATGATTGACACGTGGCATACCAAAATCCTCAACGGATTGTCTGAGGGAGGGGGAGGTGGTCGTTACAGTTCAAGGAAGCTTTACCAGAATATAACGATAAGTAGAATACCACACTGAGAGCTGCGAGCAGAAAACTGGAAAGCAATAGCCCAAGATAGTCAGAGATAGAAGGAAAGGCTGTGTTAAGATGGACTACAGAAAACAAAATAATATACCTTTGTTTTTAAAGAATAAATGACAACTGACAATGGCGCATCTTACACAGAAACAATAAATTTAAAATAATAAAAACAATAAAAAGGCAACAGCTAACCAATACTTTAGTGTAGCGTGGTGATATGTAAAACATTTTGTGTTATAAAAGCCAAAATAGTACAATAGAAATAATGTAAGTTTGTATAAGTTCGTTTAAATCTTTTATTTAATAAATATTAGTCTAATTTATTAATGCTTAATTAATTATTTTAATAAATTAATTTTAATATACATTATGCATGTTTAATGTTGATATAAAAAGAGCTTTCAGATTTCTTGCAAGTTAAAAGAAGATTGCAACTGTCAAGAATGAAAATAATTGAGTGGTGAATAAAGACGTGAAGGATTAATCTACTAACACAACAAAACTAATCTTATCTTTAAGGCACAAATGACCGCATGTTTTATCATTATTTCAGTGGTCCGTTGTTCCTGCAGATAAGAAGATCGTAAAAATGACTTCCTCTTCCCCGAAATACTCTTATCTGGAAAGAACCTCGTAGTATTCGTAATAAACTGATTATGCTACCACTAATTGGACGCGGCTAATGTGTACGCTCTTGGAGAACATTCTAATGAAGATATCAATAAGCGTCGGGGATTTGGGATAAGTGTTTCCAGTATTATCAAAATCGTTGATAATTCTTCATAATCAGTTCAACAAACCTCTCACATTATTTGTGTAATTAAAACGACCATCATGTTTTAAGAGCATTTATGGTATTTTAATTTGTTTATAGAAAACTATTGATAGCTACTATATATCATATTTACCTAATTTAAATTTTGTATTATTATTCTTTCAAAAATTATAACGATTTCTTGAAACCATTAATTACCGTTTTAGGAGATATATAAAAATAAATTACGCAATTAATTAACCGTGTATTACAAATAACAGAGGATAAAAAAAGGTTTAGGATCGAAATACATTAAGAAATATAAGTGCTGATAAAGGAGGATTATTTTCACCATTGTAAATTAATTCTTTACTATTCAGAAATCAAAAAGAAATAATTTACATAACTATGAAAATGAATTATACGTATTAAAGAAAAGAAAAGGATGTGAATAAACACGTTGTCTTGATTCCAGGACTCGGCGAGTTCACTAGAACAGATAACTAAATTTCTATTTTATCAGCTCAGAAGTGATTCTAGGACGGGAGGAATTTACGAAGGTACATTATCTATTAGCTAGGTGGAAAGTTCAACCTGGTGGTTGGGTGCGAATCCTGATCTCATCACCTGCTTTTTTTTCATAGGTTCTTCCTAGGTTCACCTGTGTCTTTTTTGGATATATATATATATATATATATATATATATATATATATATATATATATATATATATATATATATATATAAAATTAACAAAACAAAAGGTCGTACGACACTGAAATTAAGTATATACTTGGTAAGTTACAGTAGTATTTAAAAATCGACTTAACCCGTGGATTTCAAGTCGAAAAATTGAGTTTATGATTCAAAAAGTTAACTTCTTTCGGTTTTTCGCTTATATCGCTTATGAAACTATACGTTCTATCCTAATAATGTGATATGTGAAATTAAAACTAATAGACTATATATTTATGGAAATCGGACCATTACGAGCAAAGATATAGACTACAGTAAATTGTACAAATAAATGTTTTGGTTTGTTTTTATGAATTCTTCCAACTCATAATACATTGCATTAACATATTTCCATACTATTTTATCAGTTGTTTTCTGACTAATATTTTATGCAAATTATTCGCACGGGCCAGCTTTAAAAAAATAAATAAATTATTTCTACTGAAAGTAGTGGTAAATGAAAATTGTGGTGTGGTATACATTCAACAGAATTTGTTTTATACTACGTTTCTTGAAACGACGTAATGACTCTAATTTTAAAGGGAGGAGTTTAATTTTTAATTTAATGATTAAAAATAACGCTAAAATATCTAGAAAAAAAATCTCCAGCCGAGATTAACTTTCTGAGCTTAGCAATAACGATTTCTGTTCGGCTAAAATCTCATACAGGTAGCCTCTTTTATGATTATGATAATAATTGCCGAAATTAGCTATACCGCAGTGGAAATTGAAAGAATAATTTAGTAGAGAACTCAAGATGACTTTCCCGACAAATGATTATACTCAACCATACAGTATTCCCGAATTTACCGTATGTGAGAACCCTTAGTACTTAAACTAAAAGTATATACACATAAGAATTTAAATAAAACTACAAATTTATGATTTTTATCAATTGTGATAACACTTTTCGTTGTGAACAGTAGGATCAAGTACATAATCCCTGCAATGTAAGGGGTCTGATCTACAATAAAAAACCTAAGTAATTCAGTTAGTAAGTCGTTCTGATATATTTGTCCCGAATCGATAAATATAAGCGTCAAATTACCAATTAAACATAATAGTGTTGTATGTTCAGATTGAATATATTTTGTACTCCAAATCTCACTGATAGAACGGTGTGTCCCCCACATATCGGATAAAGATTTTTCGACAAACCGAAGTAATCAAAATTTCAATATTTAAATAAATCGGGTCACACCAATTCGAACGGAAAATCCCATTCGAATTGAACTATTATTCCTACTATTGAAGTCGGATGAAAAGGACAAGCCATCAATAATCATTGAACAACCTTAATATGATCGAATCGGCGAGTCAAATTAAGGAGGATAGGGTATATTCAGAGATCGGGGGTAAAGGCAGATGATATCGGTATGAGAGATGACTGGGATTTCATAAGAAATTTCTTGGGTTTTATATTTTCAGCCACTGGTTACCCAGGAGTTAACCAATATAAGTACAAGAAAAACATTTTTGTTTTTTAACATAAAAAACAAAACAAACATATTTCAAGAAAGTATTGATATAGTACTATTAGAATACAAACAAACAAAAGTGCAAACAAGTTTTGATTACATCTCATTAATAAACAGTGTGCTAAAAATTTCATTCATAATCCTTTCAACACCTATTGACCACAGCAAGTTTACGATGTTGTTTCCAACTCTTGAAAACTGAAATTTTTAAGATATAGAATTTCCAAGACGACACCTTTTCTGCCTGTCATGTCCATTTAATGGCACAGTATCTTTAATACTGATCTCTCCTATCAAGCCTTTATCGTAGAAATTTTAGTGAAGTATTTGGATTTGTGGTTTACATATTTTCCCGCTTGTGCCAGAAAAAGAGGGCGGGATGGTCGAGCGGGCTAAATCACGCTTTGTCTGGCAACCTGATAAGATTTAGATTTACAAGTTCGAGTGTCAGGGACTTTCAACTTTGGCGTAAACCCCTCACGCTCTACTCTGACCCGAGAAAACCCACGTATACCCGAGTAAGGGAGAAAATAAAAGTGACAGGGAAGTAAAGTTTCAAGAAACCTTACCTTGTAATTTTACTTCGAAAGTTATTTGTCAAGGTTGGAAAACACATGTTCGCGGCTCGTCTGTACCATATGTAGGCTCCTCCTCGAAAAAACAAACGATGATCAACACAAACATTGTCATAACCAATGTAATATGATGCCGAAATGGTGAGTCTCTTATCACATCAACCAATTTTAAAACTTGATCAAGGGTTCGTCGACTCCGACATCTTTACTACGAAAAGAATACACGCGGAGACATTTTGAGATTAACAAAATATATTAATGGCGGGATATCAAAAAGGGTTTTGAAGAGACGTTTGTCTAATGAACACAAGGCGCACTGCTAATGTTCAGTCAAAATTTTATAACTGGATCAACTCGATTCATGCAAGAAACTGTCCGAGAAACTTAACTGTGTAAAAGGGCCTTCGTACCCATCTTTCTCATGGCTGAGACCCTAACTACTTATCTCTAGAATAAGATAGACAAATTTAATATAAATCCATGATTGATTACCGATTTAATTAATAAATGTTAAGCATAATTAAATCTATAAATACTGACCTTGGATCTGATGAATCCCTGACGATGAAGTGGCCGATAGGAGCCGATTGGAGGAGGGTTATGGACTGCTTCCTGCTGAGGCAGCCGTAGTACCATCCGGACTCCGAGAGGTCGTGAACAGTGGACGTCAGTCGCTCGAGGTCTGCGGTTCCCTTGACGGGACGGGCGAGGCAGCACTTCTTCGACCGGTGCCGGCACCGGCCCGTCTCTCCCTCGCCCCCTGAAACAAGAATAAAGGAATGTCAAGTCGCTGGATTTCTACTCCTATTTCCAAGTTAAAAAGGAAACGTACTACTTTGAAAAAATTTGGATTAAGATTAATCAATTTTCGGATAATAAAAAAAAATATATCTTCGATTCATTGAAAAACCTCAATTAGAAAGAAGGGTAACTTTAAAAAAAATATATATCAGAGTAAGTTTCATTGAAATACACTAACTGTGTTTTTGCTTCGAAGGTTTGAAATTCATAAGAAACTTACTTCAAAACTTAACTCCATAAAAAATGCACTTAGTAATTATTTGCAACAAACCGAAGATATACGAATACACATCAATGTGCACAGAATAACATACAGGCAAATAACTTGGTTACTTACACGTTTTTATAAATTGTTCTAAATCTTAATAAGTAGACCTAACTATTGTCTCAAACGAAAGAATACTGGTGAGAGATAGTCTAGCAGCATTACAAAGAGTACTCATGTAAGAGGGATCAGAGCTATTTTTGAAATACTTTAATTAAACTTTAATACCTCACCAGTTTAAAAATTATCCGATTTTGGGATCACATAAGTTTTTCGAGGAAAATCAGGATTCCGCCACTAATATCGAATCACCAGTCTCCTTATTTTGGCAAACAGTAAGGCACTCACAAAACCACGCTAATTAAAGAATAACATCTTCAAAGAACAGGTTTTATTCATGTAACTAAATGGAAAAACAATATATCCTCGTTGGGCTCATTAACGAAGCGGAACGGACTGTGGAGTCAACACTAAATTATAATCGGGTGAGATAAAGACCCTTCTACCTTGTAAGGTCATTCACGTAATGGAGGCGGGGAATTCCGAGGTACGATGAAGAGATGTCTTTTCTGATAAGATAATAAGTTCTCTTATGCAATGAAGACTATAGTGAAGCCAAATAAATACTCCTTTGCAGTTCTTAAATTATGTTAAATTTTAAATTCTAAACAAACTATAAAGGAACTGAAGCTATGCTGCTTGCTGAAGGCAGGTGTCAGAACTATTCTGTAGTTAGTTGTACAGCCTATAAAATTTCTCAAGATTGTACTTTAATTTTATGTCTCGTTTTTATTAATCATTTACTCAATGTGGTCCCATTATTCTCCTAGAGCGACTCAGGGGTGTTATGAGATTTACAGGAAGATTTTTCCATTTTTGGATACACCTGCCTAGCTCCCTATAGACCCTATAGACAACCGTATAGAATAATGGCTGGTAACAGAGCTTACTATGCGAACCTAAAACTTCTCATGTCTCCATTGTTGTCAAGAGCCACAAAAATAAAGCTGTATAAAACGCTTATTAGACCAGTAGTAACCTATGGAGCGGAAACCTGGTGTTTATAGCAAGAGGATTGCAGTAAACTAAAAATATTCGAAAGGAAAATAATAATAAGGATTTACGGTGCTACAAGAGTTAATGGCGAGTGGAAAATCAAAAGTAACAATGAAATCGAGGCTATATTAGAGAATCAAAACATTACTAACTATATCAAGGCAAGTAACCATTTTGAAGGGCAGGACATGTAGCCAGAAAGGAGAATGAAAGGGTGCAGAGAAAAATATTGGAAGCACACTTCAGTGGGAAGAGGAAAAGAGGCAGACCGAGAAGCAGATGGGAGGATGAAGTGGAGAGAGATGCGAAGCGAAGAAGGTAGGAGTTCGCAATTGGAAGAGAGTAGCACAGGACAGAGAGAAGTGGACAAAAATTACTCAGGAAGCCAAGGGCCATGCAGGCCTGTAGCGCCGGGGAGTTAGTATGTATGTATATATAGTATATCCATACTATATATATATATATATATATATATATATATATATATATATATATATATATATATATATATATATATATATATATATGTATGTATATAGTATGGATATATATTTCTTAATGTTTTCAGTTATACTACAAGGAATAAAAACTTTTCTTTGCATATACAAAAATAAAAATATATTCTTTGCATCAGAACAGAAAAAACAAAACAGGTTCGCCGATTTTTTTTCCTGTTTAGTAATATATGGCGCAGTCAGTGGTTATGTACTAAAAAATTCAGAACTCATTTCACAGCTATTTGAAATGGCAAGGCCACCTAAGCCAAGGTTTACAAAAGGTGATTATGAAACGAGCAACACCTGTTACGAAACGGATAGTACAGTGAATAATTATTTTATTTAAATCTTTGAACAAATTAATTATTAATAACAATTTAATGAACTTTAGCAAACGGATGACTCACACAATTATCAACCGACGATGCTAAATAATCAAAAAATATTTACTTTCATCTTGAAATGCCTTTTATTCGAAATGTAAACACTTAAGGCTTTAGCTTAAACAGTTCTAAGAAAATTAGCAGTCAACTCAGCTTAAAGGATGATTTAACTGTTACCATATTCGGTTTTTAGTATTAGATTATTTTTCCATTATTTTTGTACAATTCACAAAAACATTTACAGACAACCTGTGGTAATATTGCGTAAGGTCGCATATCGAAAAAAAAATAATATTTCGATATATCAGGACTTTATATGTTTAATCTTAGAAAATAATAAGGATGAAACAGCAACATCTATTATATATGGTCATCAAATACTTACATCGTAACCAATAAAAATATTAATGTTTCGGTTCTTCATGTTTTAACTCTTTGAAAGAAGTGAGACTGAATTAACAAGGAATTATTGAAGAGAAGTTAGTTGGGGTGTTCAGTCAAAAATAAACAAATTAAAAATAAATAAATGTATAGATGGACTCTACATAGGTTGTAAGCATATATAGAGAGGGCTTATAGATATATAAAGCTACCATCGCTTTCAATATATAGTATTTACAGTCTTAAGATATGAAGTAATAGTCAATTGCCCCTCGTGGATTTCAAATCGAAAAATTGAGTACGATTAAAAAAGTTGACTTTTTTCGGTTTTTCGCTGAATACATATCAATGAAGCTATCTAAAATAATTTCGGAGTTTAATCAAGTTATAATTGCTCTAGCCTTTGAATGGTTGAAGATAAGATAATAAAATAACATATATATTCTTTAAAAAAAATTAATATAAAACAATTTTCTTCTTCATGACTTTTTCGTAAAATAAAAAGATAATGATTTGGCGAGTCAAATAATGATAAAAATGCGACGTGAACATTTTTTTTTTTTCGAAATTAATGAATTACGAGGACGGATATCATGGAAACAATAGAATATAGCGAAAAACTAACATAACCATTTCTATTGAAAATTTTGTCATCTTTAATTTCACATCCTCGCGCGGGCTCATTACCGCGTATGGGGAGCGTCCCACGGGTGGCGGATGTGGGGATGGTCGGTGGAAATTCCTTGGAAGTTCCTCCCGGCTAAGTCCGATGGACTCGCTGACCAACAATGAGAGGGGCCCTCCAGACTTGCTGGAGGGAGGGGACCTCCAGACTTGCTGGAGGTAGGGGCCCACCAGACTTGCTGGAGGGTGTGACGTAGGATTGAACGCCCTACTCACATATCTTTAGTTCACCAAACACCACAAAAAGTCATGGATCTCCCTAAGGTAAAACGCTCATTATCCGGAGGTAAACTAGTCCCCCGTTCGGGTCTCCGGGTGGGGACTGCTTTAGGGGATTCATGCCGCAAGTTGAAATATAGGGATTTAAATATTGGTACGTGGAACGTAAGGAGTTTAAACACAGCAGGGGGGCTAAAATCGGTCGCGAATGAGGTAAATGGGTACAATTTGGATGTCGTGGCTCTGCAAGAGGTTCGCTGGCCAGGGGAGGGCTCGATGAGGGAAGGAAAGTACACTATTTGGTACGGAGGAAGCGGGAATCATTGTTTAGGTACCGGGTTTCTAATTAGGAGTAGATTACTATCCGCTTTGAGGGACGTACAATTCTTTAGTGATAGAATTTCGGTAGCTACATTTCAGGGACGTTGGTTTAAAATCGCATTAATAAACATACATTGTCCGACCGAAGACAGTGACGATGAAGTCAAAAGTGAATTTTACGATAAACTCGAATGGGTTTATGATAAACTACCGCGAAACTACATGAAAATAATTGTAGGTGACGCGAACGCAAAGGTAGGAAGGGAAGAAGTTTATATTCAGACGATTGGTAAAGAAAGTTTGCACGAATATAGTAATGATAATGGGATCCGTCTGATAAACTTTGCCATCTCGAAAAACCTGGTAATTAAAAGTACGACGTTCAAACGTAAGGATATTCATAAATATACTTGGACATCGCCGGATTCGCAAACACGAAATCAAATCGATCATGTCTTGATACAACACAGCTGGCAAAGCAGTATAATCAATGTACGGTCTTATCGCGGAGCAGAATGTGGGTCGGATCATGAATTAGTAATCGCGAAACTTCGACAAAAACTTAATATAAAAAAGAGAAAAGAAAACCGTTTCGATTTTGAGAATTTTAATTTGGAAAAATTAAAAAATCCATCAATTAGAAACCAATTCGAGCTAGATGTTAAGAATAGGTTTGAAGCTTTAGAGCTTCCTGACGAGGACCACGAGGATATTGACAAGTTATGGGTAGAGATCAGGGATAATATTAAAGCGGTCGGTAACTCGTGTCTAGGAAAAAAGGAAAATAAGAATAACAAACCGTGGTTTGATGAAGATTGCTTAAACATGTGCGAAAAAAGGAAAGCCGCTAAATTAAAAGCTCTAAATAATCCTAGCGAAGACAATCTGGAATACTTCCGAATCTCAAAGAACGAAACGACAAAATTGCTCAAAAATAAAAAAAGGGAGTATCTCAAAAATAAAATAATTGAAATAGAAACTAATAGAATCGAAAATAACGTAAGAGACATGTACAAAGGTATAAACAGATCACGTAAATATGTAGGGCCCGTAACGTCTGGAATTAGGGATGATAATAACAATATTCTGACCGATCCGGTTGACATATTGAATAAGTTTAAGGACCACTTTGACAATATTTTAAATACGGGAA